AGCACAGGAGGCATCTTTTTCAGGCAGACAGCGTACAGGTCAGTTCGCAATACCATTGACTGTGGAGGTATTTGCAGTGGCCAGGGACCGTGGACGGCTACAAGGGAGCGGCGCTGGGGGCACGCTGAGGCAGCTGCTGCACCTGCGGAGGGAGGAGGCCCATGGCAGTTCCCCACCCCAGCAGGCGACTCTGAGTCGACTGTGGGGTGGGGCTTATCCTGGCTGGACCTCCTGAGCAGCAGCCTGGAGCGGGCTTGGGTGAGTGTTGGGCCAGGGAAGGAGGGCTCTCCACTCCCCCAAAGCTCGCTGCTGTCGGCGGGGAGAGGGCTGGGGGGAGTCCTCCTCTCTGACCTCCTGCCCCTACCCCGGGGCAGCCTGCTGCTGCACCTCAAACTCCTCATACCCGGCCCAGCCCCCCGCCCCGCACCCCAACCCTCTGTGCCAACCCAGAGGTCGCACCCAGCACCCCTCCTGCACCCAGCACCCCAAACCTCCTCCCGCACCCCCTCCTGCACCCAACCCCCGTCCCAGCCCAGAGCCCGCACCCAAACTCTCTCCCAGAGCCTGTACCTCAAATCCCTCCTGCACCCAAACTCCATCCCAGAGCCCGCACCCCTCCCAAACCCAAACTTCCTCCCAGAGCCTTAGGCAGGTGTGTGTGTGGGGACTTGGACCCGTCCTGGGCACCACCAAAAATTATACAAACCTTCTCCCTCTGGATTGTGGTTCTTCTGTTCAGCCAGTCAGCCACCCCACAGATCTTCACCAAATGCCTGGTGGTGGTGGCAGCTTTCCTCAGAAAAAAGGGAGTTCATATATTCCCATACCTTGACGACTGGCTAGTCAGAGGTTGGTTGAGAGCTCAGGTGGAATCCGACATCCATCTCATCCAATTGACTTGTCTGCTGATAATCGACCAGAAAGCCACCCTTGTCCCTGTCCAAAGGATAGAGTTCATTGGTGCAGTTCTCAACTACGTGCAGGCGAGGGCCCTACTTTCTGGAAGATCGTTTTTGGTCAATTATGGCCCAGATAAGGTCCCTACAGGCTCACCCAATCACAATGGCACAAAAGTGTCTGGGCCTTCTGGGCCACAAAGCTTCATGCAGATACATAGGGCAACATGCGAGGCTATGTCTCAGACCTCTGCAAGCTTGGTTGACCACGGAATACTCTCCCTTGCGTCATCGCCTGAACTTGGTGCTCACTGTTCCCACTCAGGTCCTTGATTCACTTACGTGGTGGCTGAACCCCTGCATAGTATGTGCAGGGGTTCTCTTTTCGCAGCCTTAACCATCAATGTCACTAGTATCCAACACATCAGTCCTAGGCTGGGGAGCCCACTTAGGGTCCCTCTGGACTCAGGGCCTCTAGTCTCAAGAAGAGCTTTCCCTCCATATCAATGTAAGGGAGCTCAGGGCAGTTAGCCTAGCCTGTCAGGCATTCCTACTTCACATTACAAACAAGATCATTTTGGTTCTGACAGACAACAAAACAGCCATGTTCTACATCAACAGACAGGGTGGAGCACTCTCTTCCCCCTATATCAGGAAGCAATCCAGCTGTAGGAGCTCTGTATTGCACAGTCTAGAAGCGTTCTACTTTCTGGGAATGCAGAACCAGCTGGTGAATCAACTCAGCAAGTCTTTCTCCTCTCACCACAAGTGGTCTCTCCAATCGGACGTCACAAGGGGCATCTTCCAATGGTGGGGACTCCCCTTATAGACCTGTTTGCTACCTGAAACAACAGGAAATGACACCAGTTTTGCTCCCCGTAAGACTACAGCCCAGGGTCTCTAATAGACACATTCCTGTTGTCATGGACAAATCGACTGTATTATGCATTCCCTCCTACCTCGTTGATACACAAGGTTCTGATGAAGATCAAGCGGGACTGAACACAGGTCATTCTCATGCTCTGGCATGGCCCAGACAACATTGGTTCACCACCCTCCTAGGCCTTTCGGTGGAGGCCCCACTACTGCTTCCGCTACACCTGGACCTGATCTCCCTAGACCACGGTTGACTGCTCCAACCAAACCTCAGCTCCCTCCATCTGACAGTCTGAAATCTCCATGGCTGAATCCTGAGAGCAAGCTTGCTTGGCGCAAGTCCGTAGAGTCCTACTAGGCAGTAGAAAACCCTCCTCCAAGGCCATCTACCTTGCAAAATGGAAATGATTCTCCATCTGGTCCTCCCAATGGGGAATTCCACCTATTTAGTCCTCACTACAGTTCATTTTGGAGTACCATTTGCTTCTGAAACAAGGTTTGGCCCTCTCTTCAGTCAAGGTTCAGCTTGCAGCCATCTCAGCCTTCCATCCCAAGGTTAACAACCAATCTGTTTTTTTGCACAAGATGATTATGCATTTTGTTAAAGGCCTGGAGAGGGTATACCCCCGGGTAAGAGAACCTATTCCTCCCTGGGATCTAAACCTTATCCCGTCGAAGCTCACAGGTCCACTATTTGAGCCGCTAGCAATGTGGTCGTTGTTGAACCTCTCTTGAAAAGTGGCCTTCTTAGTGGCCATCACTTCAGCCAGAAGGGTTTCAGGGATCCAGGCCCTTATGTTGGAATGCCCATATATGATCTTCAAGGATAACGTACAGCTGCGTCCACACCCATCGTTCCTCCCTAAGGTTGTTTCACAATTCAACTGCAGTCAAGCAATCTTTCTGCTGGTATTCTACCCTAAGCCGCATGCAAACAGAGAGGAACAGTGCCTACACTCTTTGGATGTTACATGGGCTCTAGCTTTCTATGTACAAAGGACCAAACCATTCTGCAGATCAATTCAGCTGTTCATAGTGATAGCAGAGAGAATGAAGGGCCTTCCCATCTTCACCCAGATAATTTCATCCTGGATTACTTCATGCATTCAGGTGTGTTATGAACTCCCAGGTGTCCTGCCTCCAGCTAACCTGGCTGCTCATTCCACAAGATTGCAGGCCTCCTCAGCCGCCTTCCTAGTGCAAGTCCCTATTCAGGACATCTGCAGAGCAGCAACCTGGTCATCGGTGCACACATTCTCAATGCACTATGCCGGGGTGGCCAAACGGCAGCTCGTAAGCCAAATGCGACTCTTTTACAGTTAAAGTGTGGCTCGTGGAGCTCCCCAGGCCTCCCCATTCTCCACCTACCAGATTGTGACGGGGGGCGGAGGGGGAGACTCGGGGCTTCTGCTCTGCAGCAGGATGGTGTGGCTAGGGGCTTCCAGCAGGGAGAGGGGTGTAGGGCAGGGGAGGGCAAACTATGGCCCACGGGCCAGATCCGGCCCGTCAGAGCTTTCAATCCGGCACCACATCCCTGCAGCCCCTGGGGGTGGGGGCAGGGCCGGCTCCAGCATTTCTGCCGCCCCAAACAAAAAAAAAAAAAAAAAAAAGCCGCGATCGGCGGGGCAGTACAGCGGCAGGTCCTTTGCTCCTAGAGGGAGTGAGGGACCTGCCGCCCCCGAATTGCCTCAGGTGCCGCCCCTCTCCCTTGGCCGCCCCAAGCACCTGCTTGTTCAGCTGGTGCCTGGAGCCGGCCCTGGGTGGGGGGCAGAGGGCTCTGTGCGCTGCCCCCGCCTGCAGGCACCACCCCCCCCACAGCTCCCATTGGCCGGGAATGGGGAACCGTGGCCAATGGGAGCTTCGGGGATGGTACCCACAGGCGAGGGCAGTGCGCGGCAGAGCCCCCTGTCCCACCCCACCCCCAGGAGCCACTGCCAGACGTGCTGGCCACTTCTGGGAGCGGCACGGGGCCAGAGCAGGCTGGGAGCCTGCCTTAGCCCCGCTGTGCGCTGCTGCCACCCCAGAGCCACTCTAAGTAAGCGGCGCCAGGCCGGAGCCTGCATCCCGAACCCCTCCTGCACCCTGCACCCCAACCCCCTGCCCTGAGCCCCCTAACCCCCTGCCTTGAGCCCCCACCACACCCCAACCCCCTGCCCCAAGCCCCCTCCCGCACTCTGCACCCCCTCCTGCACCTCAGCCCCCTGCCCTGAGCCTCCAATCCCCTGCCCTGAGCCCCCTGCCGCACCCTGCACCTCTCCTGCACCCCAACCCCCTGCCCTAAGCCCCCTGCCGCACTCCGCACCCCTCGTGCATCCCTGCCCTGCGCCCCCTCCTGTACCCCAACCCCTTGCCGTGAGCTTCTTCCTGCACACCGCACCCCCTCCCACATCCCGTACTCCCTCCCGCAACCCAACCCCCTGTCCCAGCCCCACATCCATGGCCCTGCATGCAATTTCCCCACCCAGATGTGGCCTTCAGGCCAAAAAGTTTGCCGACCCCTGGTCTAAGGGCTTCAGCCCCACGGGAGGTGCCTGCTGGGTCTCAGGGCTTCAGGCCCAGGGGAAGTGCCAGCTGAAGCCCCTAGCCCCACCACCCTGCCGCAGGGCAGAAGCCCCGAGCCCTGGAAGGTGCGCCCAGCTCTCGAACTTCTGAAGATTGTCATATGCGGCTTGGAAGGTCAGTACATTTTGCCACCCCTGCACTATGCCATCACCCAGCAAGCTAGAGATGATGCCAATTTCAGCCACACAGTCTTATAGCCAGTCTGTATTTGAACTCCAAGCCCACCTCTTGTACAAATGTTTGTGAGTCACCTACATTGGAATGGACATGTGCAACCACTCGAGGAAGAAAAAACAGTTACTAACCTTTCTTTAGCTGTTCTTCGAGATGTGTTGCACATGTCCATGCCAAAACCCACCCTCCATCCCTTTTTACTTGAGTCAGTCGGTAAGAAGAAACTGAAGGGGAACAGGGTTGGCAGGGCCCTTTATACCAGCGCTATAAGCGCAGCACCAGAGGGTGTTGGAGCCGACCTGATGGATACCACTAGGGAAAAAATTCCAGCAAGTGTGCTTAGGGGGCGCATACACCTACATTGGAATGGACATGTACAACACATTTTAAAGAACAACAGTTACAGAAAGGTTAGTAACCATTTTTTCTTTGTTCTGTTTCCTGCAAGATGTAAATGCTTTATAAAACCCGATTTCTTTTTTTTAAAATCAGATCTCTGTTGATGGCTTCAGATATATTGCTAACAGCTGCAGTGGGATTAAGCACTTGGTAATCAATGATATGCCAACTCTTACAGACAAATGTATTCAAGTAAGAAACTGAAAACAACCTTGCATTTAGGGGAAATTTCTGCCATTGAATACCTGTGTACTTTTCACATTGACTTCAAAGGAAGTTGTGCACATGCAATCTAATAGGAGAATTTCACCCTTTAAACACTTTTAACAAGAATATATTTTTTAAAACATCACCAAACAAATTGATCAATTTTATTCCAGACTAGATTTACAATTCCTTTTAACTCCTGATTACTCTAAGAAACTTTCAACAGTTGTTCCATCTTTTCCCACCTGTGCACTGGCACAATCAAAGCATAATCTCCTAACATATAAATAAGACTTATTTGGCTTTATTTTGTATTAAATCAAAGTTTAGCTGGCCATTAGTATAGAATATCAGGCCAATATTGTGCCACTGATTTTTTGCAGAGAACTTCCTGTTGACTTCAATGAAGAGTTCTGCATTAAAATCGAAGGCACAATAAGGCCACAGATATGGTAAAAACATTTCAAGCTTCTGCAAATCTAATTGTTATACTAGATGCATACTCTTGCATTTCTGACCCCCAGCATACCTCGGGTCACTGATTTTTCCCCCGCTTATGTTTCAAATTATAATAAAAAAATACAAGATTTTAAGTTCATTATCTGTACCATTGGTCACAGTTTAAAAGTTTAGTATTAAAATTGGGTTATAACTATAATGGAAGAAAACACAATGGTTATTATTAGATCAATTAACAAAATATTAGTTAGCTTTTGGCTATATAACATACCACAGATGGGGATGTTCTGTTTCACCATCTTTTTTTGTTTTCTTCAAAGGCTTTAGTTGAAAAATGCCAACAGATTATGTCTGTTGTTTTTCTGGACTCTCCACATCTTTCTGATGTAGCTTTTAAAGCCCTTGCTGAATGTAAACTTGTCAAGGTCAGAATTGAAGGTCAGTGACTTTACAGTATTTCATCAGAATTATTAATTTATGCTTTTAGAATCTGATCTGGCTCATTTGAAAACAGTAGGAACATTTCAATTAATTTCAGTGGGGATTTGGATCAAGCCCTTAATGCATGGCTAATATGTGATTTATGCCTTCATGTATTTCAACAGGAAATAATCGGATTACTGATCTAAGTTTCAAGTTGATGAGCAAATCTTGCCCACAAATCAAGCACATTTATATGGCTGATTGCCAGAAGATTACAGATGTCAGTCTTAAGTCAATTTCTCCGTTGAAGTATATTCTTGTATTGAATTTAGCAGACTGTGTAAGGTAATAAATTACATCCAGTTTTCTGTGATCTATTTATTTTAGTTAAATGATTTATATTCCTCTTAAGGTGAATTGCTTTCAGATTTAAATACTCTGACTGTGCTAATAAACATATTATTAATTTATTTTAAAAATATTGCATATTTGGTACATTTTTGTTCCAACTATACCAAATATGTACCAAATGTAAATACATTTTGTTCCTGTAGCATGTTTTGAAAAATACATTGGATATAAATACTCATTAATACCCAAATCTAGCAAAGCACTTAAGCATGCGTGTAACTCTAAGCACATGAGTAGTCCCAGGCATGTACTTAAGTGCTTTGCTGGATTCAGGCCATAGTGAGGATAGTACGAAACAGAATAGAATGTACAGTGAGACAGGGCAATTAGAGTTTAAGGGTGTTTTATTAGCTTCTTGAAGATGGAGGTAATGTATTCGGACTAGGAAGTACTAGGACATAAAACTACCTTCTTTTTCACAGTTATCAGCATAAAAGCAACAAGTTGCATTACTGCAGAAATATAGATTTGATGTAAAATCTGTTTTCAAATTCAAGTTTGTATTACGTTATTAGAAACAAAGCCAAATAACAAATAGATTATGGGCCAGATCCTGGCCCATGCTCCAGAACAGCACAAAAGAACCCTAAAACTGTCCCCATTCTAGGTTTTGTGGTGTAGTGGATGTGTCAGGAGGGATGAGCGCAAAAAATTATTTAAATCTTGGTAGTGGCCCATTAAATAGTGCCATGCAATTGGGTTGCTTACTTATCTTGAGATTTCTAGGGTCATCCTCATTTTAAGGGGGCTACATTCACAAGCAAAAGGATGGCAACACTCTCATGGTGTTGTCCATCATCCCATCCAGAATACAATAAAGTTTCTCCCGAGGCTGTTTGTTAATCTTCCTGATCCCATCCATCTGCTCTCGCTGACACCCAGGATGTGTAAGCTGTAGCATCTCATCTCTGTTGTGACCTGAGCTAGCTTCCCTATTTTGTACATTGTCTGTACGTTCCAAAAAACAAGTTTGGTTTTTGTCTTGGTGTTGAGCATGTCAGTCTTCATGCCAGTGGCTTCCTTTCGGCTTTCACCACTGGCAATTATATGGGTCATTGACTACTGAAGGCAGGGGTGAAAGTAAAATGGAGCTCTTTCCGGTATGGGACCGCTCTGTTCCCCTCCCCCGCCCAGAATGGGCAGGGCCTCGGGTGGAAGGGGCAGGGCTGGGGGTCAGCGTCCCCCACCCAGTCCATCTGAGCTCCCTGGCCCGTGCCGCCCGGGGCTCCAGTGGCGATTAAAGGGCCCGGGGCTCTGGCCGGCGCTGCCGCAGTAGTGGCAGCGGTGGTCGGAGCCCGAGGTCCTTTTAAATCGCAGCCCTGGGGCAGCTACTTCTTTTACCTCCCCATCCCCTGTCGGCGGCTGGGGGCGGGGGGGACAAAAGGGGCAGTGATGTTAAAGCACTGCTGCGGCAGCACTTTAACGTCGCTGCCCCTTTTGCCGATCCCCCATCGGCGGCCCTGCCGGGTCGTCGCTGCCCCTTTTGCATTCCCCATCGGCGGCCCTGCCGGGTCGTCGCTGCCCCTTTTGCATTCCCCATCGGCGGCCCTGCCGGGTCGTCGCTGCCCCTTTTGCGCCCCCCATCAGTGGCCCTGCCGGGTTGTTGCTGCCCCTTTTGCCGATCCCCCATCGGCGGCCCTGCCGGGTTGTCGCTGCCCCTTTTGCGCCCCCCCATTGGCAGCCCTGCTGGTAGGAACCCCAGCCAATGGGGGAGAGCAAAAGGGGCAGCGACGTTAAAGCAGCTACCTTTTACCAGTACACCGTACCGGCCTGTACCGCCTTACTTTCACCCCTGCCTGAAGGCCATCACACACAGTAATGGTCGATTTCTCCATAACATATTTTGGTTTTTTAGGGGACAGGGTTGTTAGCCCTGTGCCTATCCCCCAGCCTGGAGGACCAGAGTGTCTGTTTTTTCTGGCCCCTCCCCCACAGGCCAGTCCAGCATGGTTGAACCTGCCAGGAGCAAAAAGCCCCTGCCGACAGAGACTCGGGGGATCGTTAGAGCACACAAACTGTCCTGCCATGACAAGGTATGGACACCAGAGGACAAAATCAACCACAATAAGACAGATATCATGACCTTTAATATTGCCTCACCATCACCAGTACAGATAGAGGATCATGTTCTCACCAATGTAGAAATGTTCACATACTTGGGCAGCACCATCAGCCAGGATGGTGGAATAAGCCAGGACATCCAGAACAGAATCTGAAAAACCAGGAATACCTTCAGGAGCTTAAATACAGTCTGGAAATCATCAAAGTACAATGCCAAAACCAAACTCAAGATTTATCAGAGTTGTGTACTTTCAACAATGCTTTATAGTGCAGAATGCTGGGGAATGAGAAAGTATGACGTGTCCAAACTGTCTTTATTCCATACAACCTGCCTCAGAAAAATCCTCCATATCTTTTGGCCCAGAACAATCTCAAACCAAGATATATTGACACAGTGCAGCCAAGAGGATCCGAGCACCATCATTGCCAGGAGACGTTGGAGATGGATTGGCCATGTGTTTCAGATGGAAACTGATTCCATCAACAGAATAACAATAAGATGGACACCTGAAGGCAAGCGAAAATGAAGCCACCTGAAAACAACATGGCAAACAGCTGTGGAAACCGAGCTGAAAAACCTGGGGCACAGCTGGGGAACCATTGAAAAACTTGCCAGAAACAGACAGGAGTGGAGGAGCTTTATCGCTGCCCTAACCGCCAGAGGCATAATGGGAACATGATGATGATTCACAAGCAATTAAATCACTTTTGGGCTTGTTGATGCTGCATCACAATGTGATAACAATGCATGTAAATATAATTTATGTTGTGTTGAGATGTACCACTGAAGTGGCATGACATTATAGTGGTGGAGACAGCTGCCTGAATTTGCTTAACACTTAGATCACATCTACACTAGAAGGATTTACCAGTAACATTTTTACCTACATAGAGCTGTTGACATTGTAACGTTGCTGCTGTGTGTGCACATTTTGCTGGTGCTGCCTGTCTGCACTGTGAGAAGTTGTATTGGCAAGACACACATTGCTGTGGGTAGGTTTCCCAGTGTGCACTGCATGATCTAGCACACTCCTTGTGGAACATTTAGGAAGTGCATTGTGGGATGTCAGCATTCCTGTCAAGAAATCTTATGGGAGCTTAGATTCAAGTTCCCACAATTTGCTCTACTCCAGTCTCCATCCCATAATCTCATATTTTTGTGCTGTATTTTTTAAAATTCCCACAATTATTTGCACCGGTTTTCAATCTCTCTGCCATCTCATTGGCAGAAGCATAGATGGTGAACAGAATGTTGGAGTTCTTGTTTCTGTTGTAGTGATAGGGCACCTGGGCCTGATTCTTTTGTATTTGCAGCACCTCAGAGCTACTATAGTGGCCAGGCATGCAGTCGTGAAAATGAGAAATTTGAGCAGGAGTGGATGCTGCAGGCAGGGAATGAAAATCGCCAGGTACAGCAGACATTCACCAGCTGCACATGGTGGAGTAGTGCTTCCGGGCCTGTGAAATGAGCATTGAATTGAGGGATCACGTGATGCAAATCTGGGATACCTTTGGAAGTTTGTAATGCAGAAGGCCACATTTTTGGAATTGTGTGCAGAACTTGTCCCAGTCCTCCAGCACAGAGACACCAAAATGAGAGCTGCTTTGATAGTGGGGAAACAGGTGGCAATCATGCTGTGGAAGCTAACAATACTGGATTGCTATCCGTTTATCGACAATCAATTCCATGTTAGGAAGTCTGCAGTAGGGGCTGTTGTCATCCAGGTGTGGAATACCATTAAACATGTCCTGCTACACAGGATTGTGACTCTGGGCAATGTGCAGTAAATAATAGATGAATTCAATGCTATGGGCTTCCCAAACTGCAATATGAGAGACATATCCTGATTCTGTCTTGCTTCTGAATATACAAACAGAAAGGAATACTTTTCCAGGTTATGCAAACACTGGTAGATCCCTGAGGATGTTTCACTGACATTAACACGGGGCTGTCTGGCAAGGTGCATGATACTTGCATTTTCAGGAACACACGACTTTGATGACAAGTTGCATTCACAGAGATTTTTCCTGGACCAGCGCATTCACAGTGGTGTGATTGCAATCCCAATTGTGATTCTTTGGGGGTCCCAATCTACCCTTTGCTTCCCTGGCTTATGAACCACATGTTGGGCTCCTGGACAACAGTAAGAAAAGATATAACTATCCTCTGAGCTGGGTGCAAGATGATTGTTGAATGTGCATCCGGTAGATTGAAAGGACGGTGGAGTTGTCTCATGACTACACTGGATCTCAGTGAGCCAAATATTCCTGTTATTGCTGCATGGTGTGTGACTCACATCATATTTGTGAGGCAAATGGGGAAACGTTACCAACAAGATGGAGGAGGGGAACTGGAAAATCTGTCTGATTTTGAACATCCAAACCCAGGGGCAATTACAAGAGCACACCAAAGTGCTGTGAAGTTGAAGGAGGCTTTAAGAGCACGTTTTAGATAGTGTTCTGTAGTAAGCCAGTATGTTGCTTTGTGTTTATTTGTGTCACTTTGCGATTAAATTGTAGTTTGCTTGTATCTGAATTAGAAATGAAGTGAATAAATCCATGGTACGCCCACATCTTGAATACTGCATACAGATGTGGTCTCCTCATCTCAAAAAAGATATACTGGCATTAGAAAAGGTTCAGAGAAGGGCAACTAAAATGATTAGGGGTTTGGAACGGGTCCCATATGAGGAGAGATTAAAGAGGCTAGGACTTTTCAGCTTGGAAAAGAGGAGACTAAAGGGGGATATGATAGAGGTATATAAAATCATGAGTGATGTAGAGAAAGTAAATAAGGAAAAGTTATTTACTTGTTCCCATAATACAAGAACTAAGGGCCACCAAATGAAATTATTGGGCAGCAGGTTTAAAACAAATAAAAGGAAGTTCTTCTTCACACGGTTCACAGTCAACTTGTGGAACTCCTTGCCTGAGGAAGTTGTGTAGGTTAGGACTATAACAGCGTTTAAAAGAGAACTGGATAAATTCATGGAGGTTAAGTCCGTTAATGGATATTAGCCAGGATGGGTAAGGAATGGTGTCCCTAGCCTCTGTTTGTCAGAGGGTGGAGATGGATGGCAGGAGAGAGATCACTTGATCATTGCCTGTTGGGTTCACTCCCTCTGGGGCACCTGGCATTGGCCACTGTCGGTAGACAGGATACTGGGTTAGATGGACCTTTGGTCTGACCCAGTATGGCCATTCTTATGTTCTTATGTTAATATACTGTTTGAATCTGGAGAGAGGATATTGGGTTGTGGGTCACATGGGGGTCCTATAAGACAAAACAAATCTTGATTTTCACAAACCAAACTTTACTGAACAATTATAAACCATAACACTTCTACAAAACCCCACTTAAAACCATTTTTTAAAAAAAAGGTGCTGAGCTTTCCTGTATGAATCACTTATCAGAGTAGGTTCACTCACTGGGGTTGAGTGGAAGGGATAGTGTGACACACTATGCTGGGAGACTGGGGGAGTCCTATGGGCCAGGCCCTGGAACCCTACAATTGTCCAAGCATTGCAATGGCTGCTGGGGTGCTGGGGAGATTTGTATCTGTATATGCTGTCCCAGGAGCTGCATAATGTCTTGGTAGACTTCACTGTGCACCTCCTGGTCCTTCTGCCTCTCCTCCAGCAAGTGCTTTCTCTATACTCCGTTGTTTTCTGGATCTTGAACCTGGAGCTTCTGAAGAGATCTGAGACCATGTCCTCCATTGACTGTTCTTTTTCCCCTTTTGATCAAAGTTAGTTTTTTCAACAGGTGTGTGTGGGGGTGCCTCTCAAGGATACCTTAGGCAAGGTCACTGATAAACAAGACAAACAGACATTGTTAGATTCAAAGGCTTGGCCTACAGAAAAAGATAAATGAGAAAATTCCCTAAAAAGTTCCCCTAAAAAATTCACAAAAATATGAACAGGGTCAGATTTTCCAGGCTGCTTGCATTAGGACAATTCAGCAGCTCCCAGTATGGTGAGTATATTGTGGGCACTTATCACAGCCTAAAGCAGTGAGAGGGGGATGGTCTACTGTGTGTCCTTGGTAATAAATATAGAGATAGTGCAGTAAATATTGCAACATTTATTACAGGCAATGGTGATTCTCGCTGAAAAAAATCACTCATGAAGTAGTCAAAGGCCAAGGGAAGGCAACTGCTCAAGGCAACACAAAGCCACTGGGCCCTTATGCTGCTGGCCTCTTCACAGTGATGGTGCTGCCGGAATTCATTGCAGAGTGGCATGGGAAAGTTTCCTAAAGCAGGGAAGAACCAAAGCCACCCTTCCAAGAAATCTCAAGGCAAAACTTAAAAATAACTGCTTTAAAACTTTATCAAGATTGTGCCAGATGATAACAGGGAGATCTGTGGCAGGATCAACACAACACTCCAAAAGTGGAGGAGAGTGGTTGCCGCTGCTTAGCCCTACAGGTCAATTCAAGGCCAAGCTCTCCAGAGCTAGCAACAAAATGTCTTTCTACACCTGGATCCAATTACAGCATGCAAATAATTTGTTTTGGGCTTGAACTCTTGGATTGGAAAACCAAAGCTCTGCATGTTTTGAAGTTTAAGATACATGTTTCCTGTATACTGTTAGCCATAGAAAATCAGGTAGTTTGAATGAGCAGTTCCTGGATTGCTTGCAAGAATTATTTGAAATTTTCTATGTGTTTTATTTGCATGCTCAGATTTCAGTATCAGTGTTTTTCTTTTTCTGCTTGCAATGCATTTATTTATGTTGCTCTCTTTTTTGCATATGACTGCCAGTGCATGTTGTTAAAATAAACCAGGTTCTTTGAAATGCAATTCCTTTGGTCCCTGCCCGTGCACTTTTGGACGCTATTTTGAGTGTGTGTAGGAGGATTTTTGCGGCGCGTGAACAATTTATTTTTTAAGCCATGAAACAAGTGGTAGCAGTGGGTTTTTCCTCCAGGCTCATCTGGGTTAGATTTGGCTTACACTCCTGACTCTCCGTGTTGTCTCCATCCTTCACATGCAGCCTCCTCAACAAGTTCTTCATCGCTGGCTACTGCTGGGGTTCCTTCCTTCAGGTCTTGTGAGGTGTCCATGGTAATTTCTGGGGTGATGGTGGTGGTGTCCCCATCAAGCATGGCATCCAGCTCTGCATAGAAGTGGTAGATATGGGGGCCAGACCCAGATTTTTTATTGGTCTCCCTTGACTCTTGGTGCAACTGACACATTTCCTTCCCCTCCACCAAGGGTGGCACATAAACCATTGACTGGGGGAGGTTAGCTCCCAGACCTGCCCCTTCCATCCGAGGCCACGCCCCTTCCATGCCTCCCCCCCACCCCCCGCCAGAGCCCAGAGGCCCCTCCCCACTGCAGCCACCGGTCCCCACCCCAGGCTAGCCCCCCCAGCCCTGGAGTGCTGGCAGCGCAGCCTCGGCCCTGGAGCGCTGGTGGCACAGCCGCAGCCCCCCTCCCATTCCAGAGCACTGGAAGGGCGGGCAGTGGTTGGCCACAGCCCCTCCAAGTCCCGGAACGCCAGGAGGGCAGGCAGTGCACAGCCACAGCCTCCCCCCCAGTCCCAGAACACCGGGATGGCAGGCAGCATGTGGCTGCAGCCCAAGCTGGGGCCACTGCACAGGGGGACTGGAACTGCTGCAATGTTTCTTCTCTTCACAGGCTGAGGAAATTCAGGACTTCTTTCCTGGATCAGGCAGCAGCTTGAGGTTTAGCTGGAGTTTTGTGGGGAACCATAACTATGTGATCACAGAGGTGTGCTTGCCAATGGGGGCTAGCCAGAAGGGAGGCACTTCAAAAATATGCTTGGGTCTTTCAAAGTGGGGGTGGGGGGAGAGGGTCAGATTTCCGGTCTTTGTGACACCTGGGCAGCAAAGTTTAGAGCGGTCATTGTTTCTGGAATAGTGGCATTGTGGGACTGTTCCTGGAGGACTATTTTGCTGCTATAGGTAATGCAGTATCCACTTATACATTCTACCATTGCACCTATGCCATTAGAGGGCTTCTTTTTCATAAGCCAAGCTATCAAATTTTTCCTCTGGCTACTTATTCAAATTTGGCTAAAATAAATGATGTTGGGCAACTACCAGTTTCAGTCACTGTTTATCTGTAATGCCGGTCATCAGATGCAAATTATATATTAAATCATGTGCATTATGAAAATATGTATGTGTGAATATGTTTTTGTATTTATATTTTAGAATCAGTGATGCAGGTTTACGATCATTTTTAGAAGGATCTTCAGGGACAAAGCTAAGAGAACTGAACTTGACTAACTGTATCCATGTCACTGATGCCTCCCTCATGAAAATAGCCCAAAGGTACTGTATTATTGTGCCACCAGTATTGATCTGATGGTAATTAGCAATTATTCTCCTAAAATATTATTCTTTAGAAAATTAAATTTGGCAAGTTATAGGACTCAACACAAGAGTATGTGGGTGAAATTCTGTAGCCTGTATTATACAGGAGGTCAGACTAATCTATTGGTACCTTCTGGCCTTCAAAATCTATGAAAATGATCGCTATGATGGAGAGTTCATCTCTACTAATTCAAAAAACTTCTTAAAAGCTTGTTGCCAGGTGGCAGAGCTGTCTTTAATTGTAAGCATTTCAAAGCTACATTTTTTTAACTCAATAAATATGCATAACCATGGTTGCACAAACTAATGAGAGCTGCATGGCAAACCCCCTCCACATCAAGTTATAAATATAACCTTCAATAGGAACACTGGGAGGAGGACTGGAGGAGTGCTGGCTGTATATCTACCAAAAAGTCATCTTGCAGTTGCAGGACAAGATGATATAATGCAGGCCACTGTTAGTTACTCCTCTGAGCAGGAGCAACGTTCATGATTTGCCAGTGTTGCTGCTAACAGTAGCATGCATGTTAGCATGCTGAGGGATGCCTGTGTCTTTTAGCTGGCAGACAAGACTCCTTTCAGGCCATAGAGTGTGGGCTAGGGCACTAGCTGGGTGTACCTCTACTGCTCTTTTGAGCACTAGAAGGGTTCCTATCTGCTGACTGTATACGAGGAAGAAGCTCTTAATACTTTTCTCTCTTGTAATGCACCTACCCATCAAAGAGGGGGTCTAGTACAACATAGTTTATTCAAAAAGAGATTTATTGGATTATTGTCATTTAATGTGTTTAAAATGTACAGAATTATTTTTCCAGAAAAAAACATGCATGAAATAGTAGATTTCATCCCTAGTGTAGAATCAGGGTGAGCTAGGCCCAAAAGAACTGACGTAGTTCTGATGTTCAAAATATAAGGAAAACTTGGCTACAGTGTTTAAGAATATATGTTTTGAAACAGATATTGTTGGTAGTTTAACCTTTTCATTGGATCAATGTTTTTATTAAAAACCTACACTATGTAGAACAGTAAATATTCTGTAGAGTTTGGATATTTTGAGGCTATTATTACATAATCTTATGTCTTGATTACATGATCTTATTGCCACTGGCTGGAGTGACTCATAACCTTGAATACAGACTGTCAAAAACAGGGCAGATGCCCCAAATTGGCAGTGTGTTCTATAATTAGATTTCACCTTCAAATATACTCTCTGTGTAATGTTTAGAACTGTGAGTAGCCCCATTGGACAAAATAGCTACTTATAGTACTGAGCACTATTCCTGGCAGTAAGAACTGGGCCCTATTTCTTACTTGGACGTGTAAGCAATGTCCTACAAGCTGATAAATTGCAGTCCAAGTTTCTGGTGTTGGGTAGTGTTTGATTGCTCTTTGTTCTTCATATTTTGGTTGTAGTATTTGTTGATTTCTAATTTTTGTAGCTCATACATAATTTTGTATTTTTCAGTAAATCATGTACCCCCCCAAATCTTACTGAAACTCAGTGGGAGCTGGGTGCCTGATTTCTTAGGCTACCTTGAAAATCCCAGCCAAAGGTATTACACAAAATGTACATAACATAATACATTTCCATAATGAATTGGAAAGCTCACATTTCTGTGTTTTAATTTAGGTGCCATAATCTGGCCTACCTGAATATGCGTTACTGTGAAAGCGTGACTGATGCTGGGATTGAGGCACTGGGAAACATGACCTCATTGATATCTATTGATATTTCTGGAACCACTGTCTCAGATATGGTAAAAACCCCATAAAAGAAAATCAATATGTTTCTTACCTAGATATTTTTCCTTAGTAACCCACACCCCCATTTAAAAAAATCACAGAGATATTAAGTAGTGAAGTTACCATATCTTTAAAATATTCTGTAAATCTTTGTAGACTGTTTTGTACTGATGAATTTGATACATTTCAAAAACAGTTTCATAACTGCAGTAGTGTTTTAGCTTAAGAAAGGGCAATGTAGTAATTGGGCTTTGTGAAGGGATCTCTGTGGGAGTTTGGAATTCAACCCCCTGACTTGCAGGCAAGCCATGGAGTCAGATCCTCCACATTCATTGTTCCATGCCATGCCTCTTTGCAGCTGCTATGCAGGAATCCTGGGCCATTGGATCCACATAATTGTGAACTCAGTGCCCCTGCCCCCAAACTGCCTTACATACTGCCTTACTAAGCGGCTGTGCGCAGTGACCTTCTCCCTTCAGCACCCATCCCTCTTTGACTCAGACCCTGGAGCATCCAGGGGAAGGCCAGGAGCTGGATGAGGGATATACACATTGCCCAGGGCCTGGAGGGAATTCTGCTGTAAAGGTAATACAGACCAGGGTTGAATTTCTCATTCTATAGCCCTTTTCCAGGGAGAATTAAGCTGGTTGCAAATCAGAATTTTCATCTTGTGGGAAATTCTAATACTGTAAAAATTCTTTTCATCCTGAATCAAGACAAAAAATTGAAATATTGAAATTTTTCATGGAATGGAAAGTTGCCAAAAAATTTCAATTTGGAACATTTCATTTTGACATTGCATATTGAAATGAAAAGTTTTGATAGTCCCAAATCAAAATATTTCATTTTTGATTGTTGAACTGACTTAAAATGTTTTGTCTTAAGTTGCCAGGCTTCCCAGCCAGAGTGTGGTGTTTCCCAAGACACACATGATCAGATGATTTCTATGCTGCGCTATAGTTGTTCAACCAGAGGGGGAAACTATGGTGCATCATGGGAGATGTAGTCCAGTCAGGGAGCCCAGCCCATGAAGGAGAATGGAGACACGAGGCACGCAAACTACAATTCCCCTGAGGCTTGGCTGCAGCTCAAACATACAGAGATTTATGTTGAACTGATCCAAAACAAAATGTTTCAATATGGTTTGGCAAATGGAAATGTTTTGACTCAGGTTGATTAAGCTTGAGGGAAAATCGAAAAAATTAGAGTAAAAAATTTCCAAAGGAAATTTTGAATGTGTGAAAACTGCATTTTCCATCGAAAACACATTTAGATAGAAAATTTGTAACAGCTCTAATAGAGAGGCCCCCTTACATTGTGGTCCAAGGTATAGCTGCTAGTGAAAGAAGCTCTGGCAAGGTAGCTTCAAAGATGTCAAGTTGCCAGGAGCAGGAAACAACCATAGAGGGCCTTGGAGCCAAGTTAGACACGTGGGGCTTCCACACAGATGTTCATGGCTCTTGGCAGATTCTCCAAGATCCACAGTGCTAGGAGCCAGGTCATTTGCTCCTTCAATAGGAGTCCAAACCCTACTCTCCTGATAGAAAAGTTTGGAAGAAACTGTGAGAGAAACCTCTGCAGCAATTTCTTTCCCCTGGACTCCTTACTGTGTGTTTTAGTACAGGAGAATATGCTCTTCAGTGTTGACTCAGACCCTGTTTATGCAAACCTGTGAGCAAGAAAATCAGTGTTTGGCTCTAAAGCAGTATTTGTTCAAAAGCAATTAAAAACTCCTTATCCTTGATGGAGGCCTAGAAAAGAAAAGAGTAACAAAATAACAAGGGGGGGGGGGGGGGGGAACAAGGAATTTTAATTTAATTTAAAATATAATTTAGCCACTGTTGGTATTTTTATAGTATATTTTATGTGAGATTTGGAATTCTTGGAACTGTAAACTGTAAAGTTTTATAATGTAAGAATTTTCTTTTGATTTTCTCCTCTTTTTTGACCACAGTCAGCCAGTTAAGATACTGTATGTTGCTTCTTATTCTCATTTACGTGCAGCAGAGCCCCATGCTGCAGGCAATCATCCAAACTCTGTTGCTGACACTACATTTTTCAGACATTCAGTTTTCCCTCCTCCCACAAGACAGATAAGTTAACCCTGAAATTTGCCATTTATCATTGTAGTATACAGTGTTATTGTAACTGCATTGGTCCCAGGATATTAGAGAAACAAAGTGGGTGATGTAATATCTTTTATTAGACCAACTTCTGTTGATGAGACACAAGCTTTTGAGTTTACACAGGCCTCTTCTTTAGGTGTGGAAAATGTACTCAGGCCTTGTCTATACTGCCACTTTACAGTACTGAAACTTTCTCCCTTGGGTGTGAAACCCCTCCCTCCCCCCCGAGCGATGCAAATTTCAGCGCTGTAAAGTGGCAGTGTAGACAGTGCACCAGTGCTGGGAGCCAGGGAGCACTCCCCTAATGGGGGTGAGGTTTTTTACAGCTCTTTCCCAGCACTGGTGCCACGACCAGCCACGGCAGTGCTTTAAGATTGCTAGTGAAGATATGCCCTCAGAGTGTCATGGCTAAATACAAGGTGGAACAGAATGTTTAGCATAATTAATACATAGTTCAAGGGACCATGATATGAAAAGTCATCTAACAACTTTTTGTTTAATTTGTATGTGCTTTGAGTTTTTGATGAAAGAAGGATTAATTTAAACTTATTTTATACACTTTTTATAGTAATATAAATGAAGTTCAAACAAGATAGATATGTACACTTTTAATTTAGACTTTTTAAGTACTGTGTAGAAGTTAGTTTTGAAGACTGTAGTAAAGAATATCAGGTTTCAAGCCCAGTGGATCCAACACCATTAAATGGTGCTATTTAGGAGAAACCATGAGGGCCAAATTCTTTTCTGCACTCTGTACAACAAATCTCTATTGCATATTCTTCAAGTATTCTGTCAGAGGGAGTTGAGTAGGCTTGAAACATGCCTAATATGCAACATGGATTTGCACTGCAGAAGAGAATTTTGTTTTAAATTTGGAGCCTGAGCCATTAGCTGTCCTAATGATGGAGGTTAGAATTGCTGCACTGCATAAATACATAATATATTTTGTATAGTGGTCAAAAATCATATGCAATCTCTGAAAAATTTTTGATTGGATTACTGGGCTGAGATATCATAAATAGGAGCCTAAATTCAAACTCCTACTGCCATATTTAGCGATCTGCCTGGTTTTCAAAACTGGCAACACCCAACAGCTTCCATTGCCTAAATATAGATCTAGGAGCATAATTTTGAGAGAAAAAAAATTGCCATTCTGGATAAAGAGGACACTTGACCTGTTGCTTGTATGGAGAAATTTGCTGACACTTGGAATTAGATTTAACAAAAGACCCATTTTTTATAGAAGAATATTTCAGGAGCCCCATTGGACCCACTGTAATGAATATCGTAGTGCTCATAGCAAATTCATTTCCACTCTGTCCCATGCCTGGGACAGTTTAAAGTCATTGCCATGTGGTGCTTGAAGAGGCTGAGGCTTGGTCTACACTTACCCCCCAATTCGAACTAAGGTACGCAACTTCAGCTATGTGAATAACGTAGCTGAAGTCGACGTACCTTAGTCGAACTTACCTCGGTCCACACGCGGCAGGCAGGCTCCCCCGTCGACGCCGCGGTACTCCTCTCGTCTAGCTGGAGTACCGCAGTCGACGGCGATCACTTCCTGGTTTGACTTATCGCGTCCAGACAAGATGCGATAAGTCGAACCCAGAACTTCGATTCCCAGCCGCCGAACTAGCGGCTGGGTGTAGACATACCCTAAGCTTCTTTTCTAAGCTTTTCTTTCAAGATGTTAGGTCAGTTAGTCAAAACAAAAGAAGAGTGCCAATGGAAATACAACAAAAATTAATATTGTAAATATTCAAGCAGCAGTATTATTCTTAGCCTATGTATTTGTATTATATGCAGGGAAAAATATTCAATTTGTTAGATATCTCAGCAAGTAAATTCATGAATAGGGCCCTGATTCCACACATGCTTACGGTTTCACCCTTGCTTAAGTATCTTGCTGAATCAGGGTCCAAGATTCGTGATGAACAAAACCAAGCTGGTTCCCATTAAGAAGACATGGGATTTATGAATGCAAGAAGCTGATATGATGCCTTTTTCTGTTCTTGCTTTGTTATATTTCATAATGATATTGTGGCACCATTACTATGGAACTTATCTTAATTTGCTCATTAGGTTTCAGACTGTTGCTCTCACTCACCTGAGGCCCAACTGTGTTACTCTTGGTCACAATGTTGAGCACTTACGAGAGTAGTCCAGTTGGGACCACCTGCATGAGTAAGTACTCACTAACATGAATAAGGACAGCACAGTTGGGTCCATTGAAATCAATAGAACTACTTTTGAAGTTCTAGTTAGCCTGAGACAGAATGACAGAACCTGGCCCCAGATAATTTTGTGATTAAAAACTTAACTGAAAAAATTGAGATTTCCTGATGGGTTACTACAGTTTTGATTCTAAAAAGCAGATAGGAGGAATTTCTATTCCCTGTACATATTGTGTTTTTGTGATCCTGATCCTGCAAGCCCTTGCTTTCTCATGGGGCCTAATCCAATGCTCAGTTAAGTCAATAGGAGTCTTTCCATTGACTTCAGTGCATATTGGATCAGGCCCATAGTGTTTACTCTTCCCCATAGAGCCATTGACTTCAGTGGAACTGAGTGCAGGAATGAAGGTTTGCAGGATCAGGCACCAAACTGGTAACATCAAAAAATATTGTTAATGTCAAAAGAAAATGAGAATGTATTCACTTATTTTCATTTAATAGAAGACCATCAAGGTTAATAATGTTTAAGACACTTTCCAATCAGTTACAGTGTATGTTACTTTTGGGAAATTGTTTTTTTCCCTTTTTACAAGACTTAAAACGTGCTATGATGGTAGCAAGGAAGTACCCGATACACACATTTTCAAGCAATTTCCTGTCTGCAGTATTTCCAAAGTACATCTGCTGTACTTTAAAAATGTGAATCCCTTCATT